TCACTGGGAAGTAGGAAATCCAGGTCTGAATCCCTGGCCTCACTCAGTCATAGGAGCAGAACTTGGACTTGGGTCTGACCCCAAGGGAGCCCTACCCACCAGAAGGTTACTGGCTATTCAGAAAAGAGAGGGGTTGTGTTTTGCTGTATTTTTCTTTTTTGGCAAGGGGTCTCTATTCAGTTCCAAGGCAGAAGGGAAATATTTTGTGGTTTTGAAAAAATTTGCAGGACAGGGAAAGCATTTCCCACTCAACTAGCAAACACTAGAGGGCACTAATGCCTTCAATTGTTTTGAAAAGCCATGCCTGAGACCAGTTTTTAAACTCTAGTATCTAGCTACACCCTGGAATGATGAGACTGTGATGGGTATAAGCTGCTTAAAGATAAAGTTCTGGACATGGTGCAAAGGCTGTGGGTGCAGTGTTGAGTCTGTGGGCAGAGTCTCTTCCTCTGCATTATTAAGTAAACTTTTTTATATAAAACAAACTTGCTTTTCTGTTTCATCTTGTTTTGGATCCTTCAACTTCAAGCAGGCCTTTGAGAGAGGGTACTTTGCAGTCTAACTATTTATTACTGCTTTATATTTTGTTCCCCAGATACTAATCTAGTCTTTTAAAGAAACCTGTTATCAGATTGTTAACATTTAAGATCAAATGTATTTGTCAAAAGGATGATACTGTTCCCTGCTCTTCATCCATCTCCAAGTTGGTTTGTGAAACCAGTCTGACCTCATTATGTCAGACTGTAGCAACACATTCATAAAGGGAAGTTTCTGAATCACTGTTGCCAATTCTGGCTCTGTTATTGCAAGTCTCATAGTAGTTTGCAAATTAAACTATATCAGGATGTAATTTAGTTTGCAACAATGCAAACTCATTTAAAACCCCCAAAACTCTTGCATGTGTGTCACTATTAAGGCACACACATGACTTCAAGAGTTGGGGCTTTAAGAAAAGTGCAATGATGCATTGCAGTTATTAGTCAGCTCATCCCCAGGCCATTGGAGAGGTGGGCAGGCTCCACAGAAAAAAAGGATCAGGTCCTTTGCCACTTTTGCCTTTAGCAGGTGCCTGCTGAAGGCAGAAGCAGGGAGTGGCCCAATCCTATTTTATTCCAGCATAGCTTGCCCACCTCTCCTGTGGCCAGGGGGTGAACTGCCAGCAGGCTGAGTGGCTCCTGAGCTGTGGGGTGACCTGGTCCTTCCCTCCATAGCAGTGGCTCCACCCCCCTTGGGATGCCTGGGCAGGCTGCTAGCAGGCCGGGGGCTGGTCCATCTCGAGGTTGGGGAAGAGTTGGATCAGTCTGGGTGCTGCCTCCAAGCCGGGGCCGTCCACCTGGGCAGCCCTGGGGTTGCTGCTGCCATGGAGGGAAGGACCAGGGCCCTTGCAGCTCAAGGGCTGCACAGTTCACTGACACCTCGCCCCCTGGCCACGGGCAGGCTCCACTGGAAAAAAAAAAGGATTGGGCCCTTCACTGTAACAGTGATGGAAAAATAAACCCCTAAGTTGAAATGGTGGGTTTCAATTAAAAACCTACCAGTTTCAATTTAGTGGGCATAGAATGGAACCCTGAGGACTAAATTCCTGTCATGTATACAAGTGGCCTTAGGTACCAAACTAAGCCCCTCTAAGTATATGGCACACCAAAGCAAAATGAAGGGCTTCTCCTCTTGAATCACCCACATGGCTCCCTGCAGCTTTGTGCCTTCTAGTGCCTCACTGGAGCCTTGTCCCTGAGGCAAGTGCTCTTCTCCCCTTCTGTATAGTAGTAATGTTAGGATGATTCTGTTTGGCTGGGGCTGGGCCCTCAAATACAGACATGCCCTGGCTCCAAAGAAACCATTAGAGCTTTACTGCAGCTGATGAGAGTGAGAGTAACTGCTTGACTATCTGATCGCTGGTGACCCATTGTGCATTGTATCTGTGGATTGGGCATCTGCCAACTCCTGTCTGGCTTGACAGCCCCAAAGACAGTGTAAGGTTCCAGCTGGACAAAGTAAGCAGATCCAGGGTTACACTGTAAGTAAACTCAACTTCAGTTACTGCAGCATTACCATCCAGTCCCAGCACACTCATGTCTCAGGTCACTGGTGGCAGGCCATGCAGGCATGTGTTCTGCTGCCACCAACAGGAAGTGTGTAAGCAAGCCCTAGGGTGGGCCCAGCTGAGAACACGGCTTTGTAACCACCAACCATCAGACACACACGTATGCTGTAGGGGTGTAGGTGGTCAGAGTAGGTCACCCATGTGGCAAGGGCAAGGTCCAGAAACAAGATCCAGGGTCAGGATTGTGGGATGAGTGTAGGGAACACAAGTCATGAACCAGTTAGGAGTTCAGAGCTGAAGTAAAAAAAACAGGATCAGGTGAGAAGTTCTAATCAGCCAAGAGCACAGCACAACAGTCCTTGCCCAGATACCTTGCTGCTATCTGCTCTGGACCTACAAAGGTTTATGAGGGAAGGGCCCTTCTCCTATAGCCTTTGGGGATGATTTAGCCTAGTCCCTGATCACTTCCAGCTGGGACCTGGGCCTGACTCCTCAGCAGCTGGGCCTAGGCACATTATACATCTATGCATGCATGTGCTCTCTTTCCAAGGCTGATCTCTCTCTACCATGAGGAACCCTAGCACAAAGCAAGAAGAAAGGACTAGCAGGGGCTAGAGAAAATTAAATCCTCATATTCTGCCTCAAGTTTCTTTTGGGGGAATATCAGTAAAGGACAAGATGCCCTCTTAAGTGTCCTTCCAGCATTTTTTTAATCAATGATTATGTCACCCTGTGGAAGGGTTTATACCATTGTCTCTATGCTGGGGTCTATGACACAACACCTGTGTCCTCCTCAGGGTTGTTGATCTTTCCCTGTCATTCTGTTCCCTGTGATGCTTAGCACTGACGCGGGGGGATCCAAAGCTAATTAAAAGTGCCCCCACTACGTTCTCCAGCCTAGCAGCTCTGATAAAGCCACTGGAGCTACCAGTGAGAAGCAGCTGAGAGGTCTAGCAGGAGACCTGGACAGAAGGGATTCCTCATGATGACTGGAGATATTCATCCTGCTGGTGGAAATATGCTGGCCCTCTGGACAGGGGGAAGTTTCACCCACTGTGTTACTGAGGTCTGCGGGCCTCTGAGCAGCACAAAGGGGGCCTCTCATATGTAAGTCTGTGCAGGAGGAGTTGAATGGCTGGGCAGGGAGATGGTGGTTTCTGAGGGGAAGAGAAAGCCTGAGTCAAGAGGCTAGGCTATTTTTCCTTTTTCCTTCCTAACCCAGGTCCTTATAATGCATCCTGAAGTGCCATTGTCACCTTCAACCAGGCACCTTCCTCATGGAGTCCATGGGAGCATGATGAGCATATTCTTAGGAGTAACGTGAGTTAATGCATCTGTGGCCTCCAGTTTCCCCAGCTCTGCCTAATTTTTACCCTTGTGTTTTGTCCTGGTGCCCTGCAGGGTGGAACCAGTTGTAGGGGGCTGTTTTGGAGTGTGAAACCAGGAAGCTCCATGTGCAGGGGGGGAGTGGTACAACAACTCTGGGCTCACAGCGCACCTCGGGGCTGTAAACACCAGCATTTAATTTAATAGACTTAAAATAAAGATTTAGGTTACTGCAGTCCAAAGGGGGTCCCTTTATTATTGCACAGAGCTCTGTACATGAAAGTATCCTCTCCCTCGGGGAACCATCTTGCCTTCACTCCAAATGCAGTTTTCCTCCTCTACCTGCATCACTTGAATCTCCCCAAACGCACCCTCAGCTTGTGTGGCAGGAGTGACACTGGCATTACTCAGAGCAGAGTCCCACTTGCTATTATGGCACTTGACAAGTACCACATGAGCATCATTTTCATTGAATATTGCTACCTTGTTTAAAAAGGCAGGGCTCATAAAAACAGAATTTTTTTTCAAACCTTTCTATTCTTCAATTTAAACCAAAAATTAACACCAGGAAAGAGCTGTTGAGGAGCCATTTTAGCATAAAGGCCCCTGGACTTTGCAGTGAGTGGCTCCTCTGGTTCTTTAAAGCTCCCAAGCTCTCTGCAGAGCTCAGTTTCATTCTCAGACACTTAAGGAGGAAAGGGGAATGTTATCCTTGTTGGGGATTGTGGGGGGGAGATGAAGAGCACTAAAGGTGATGCAGTTGGGTCACTGCTGTGAGCTCCAAGGGGGTTGAGTGAGATCACATGTTAATTATCATCAGGGATCCTGGAGCATTCGACTGTAGGCTTCTGGTGCTTGTTTTTTAGCATAGAAAAATGACTGCTTCAGTACAACTGTTGCACTGGGATTACTTGATTCAGCTCTTACCAAACTAGTTTGTTTTAGCCTATTCTATTGAAGCTAAATACCCACCTCCCTTCAATACAATAGCTATCAATAATGGATGGCTCAGTTCTGCCCATTTTCTACCTGTCTGTAATGTGACCTGCTGCTGGCTGCAGCAACCTTAGCTCTGGGAAACCTGAGCTGGAGGGAAGTCATATAGAGAAGGGAGGGGATGGACCCCTCAGTGGTCTGAGTGAAGGATGACTTGCTGCTTTCCAGAGCAAAGTAGACAAATGCATATAAAGAGAAATCGAGGACACCAGCTGGTATCACAGCAAGGGCAGAGCTACCCGCAGGGACATCCAGACACTGTGCCGTGTCCTTTGGGAGTACAGGCCATTGCGAGAGAAAAATGGCCACCTTTGTTCTGGTAAGAACCACACATGCGATGCAGGGAGGGTTAACCCCATCACCTGGCTCTTGGGGCAGTGCCAGCTGCATAAAGGCTGGGGTGGAGAGCTCCTGTCTTAATGTAGCTACTCTATACTTTCCTACATCTCTGCTGTCTCTGAAGTGTTAATCAAAGCAGTTGCAGGGGACGGAAGGGCTGTTTTTTTAATCTTGTAACTGACATTTGGTACACCTGGAGATTGAAAGGGGAAAATTCAGAAGCGTACCCATCTGCACCCAAGAAGGAACTTCCTGTATCAGCATAGCAGCATTTTGTATTCACGTTAAAGGCAGCGTGAGCAACAGGGCAATGAGTGTCTAGCCATGACAGCAGGCAACTAGGACTTGTGGCTGGGCCTTACCCCTCTTTGCCACTGACTCCTGCTGTGTTCTTCAGCAAATCTCTTCTTTCTTCTCTGCCTCAATCCCATCTGTAAAATAGAATATAGCCCTATGCTGGGATTGCCACAAGAAAGGAGACATAGCAACGCACTGAAATCCATTCAGGTTTGGACACTTTCCTCCCTACAGGGCCCTTTTGAAACCCCAGCTGTCTGTCACAAAGGACTGTAAAGCCCTAAGATCAGAGGTGTCTGAGAAAGGCGCAAGGCTATTGCAACTCAGCCAGAAATGGTGTGTGCTTGGGCTGCCTGGATGGAACCAGAGCAGAGCACGTCCGAGACCAAGTGACTGGGTGTTTCAAGTAAGAGAGTGCAGGAGTCCAGTTTCTATTACTTGGAAGCAGGTGCCCAGCCTCCTCAGGGGCAGTAGTGTCACAATGGGTGGATAAGCAGGACACGAGCCACAGGTGCTTACTTAAGGGGATGGGTCACCAGAATGGAGCTAGAGGGTCATCTCAGCCTCTTGTCTTCTGGCCTCCATTCTTCCCTCCAGAGCAGCTGAGGCAGCTAGTGTTGCAGGAGTAGCAACCAGAGGTTCACTGTGGGTGGGAGAGAGATCTTTGCATTTTTGCTGTTCAGATCTAGTATTTAAATGGGCACTCCACATGTACGTCTGCAGCGAAAAAGAAAAAAAGAGGAGGTGAAATCTCCCCCAACAGCAGCGAAGTGCTGGCTGCTGTTCCTCCATTGTATTTGTACCCTGTTACTGTCTAGGGTACAGAACTGGCTGCTTATGTTTCTGTTCAGTGGTCAGACAGTCCCAGCTTTTAGTCCTCCTCTTCCTTGGGATGGCATGGTGGCCATACCTTTGGGAAGAGCTGATTCATCTAAAACAATTGTTGTGATGGTGGGGAGGGAGACAATGCCATCTATTCCCTCCTTCACTTCACAGCATGGAGACAAATGTGACCAATGTACAAAATCCATGGTCCTGGCCTCACTCTGTGCCAGCTGTGGCTGTCTAGAGGTCAGAAGGAAATGCTTTGTAGTGCAAGGGCTTGCCCATTGGCTGCGCAGAGGACCTGCGCTTTGTAAAAGGGTTGTCCAGCTACTAAAATGTGCTGTTTTGAAGCAGACACCAGGCTACAGAGGGCACCTTTATCAGCCTAATATGTACCTTTCCATTCATAAGCCCAAAGCCAGTCCGTTTTAAAATAATGTTAAGCAAGGACTGGGTAGAAACAAGAGGAGGCACAGCAGCAGAAGGGCAGGAAGTGTGAAGCCTTCTCTCTTCTGCCTCACAGATAGCTCTGAGGGCAGCTTTCTGCTTCGTTGCTTGGTGTTGAAGCAGAGATCACTGTGCTGGAGACTCCTCAGCCCTTTCGGAGCAGGGGACCAAACCTTGGCCCTTGACTTCCAACAGCATGATTACTTCTTACCTGAGCTAAGACAGCTGGGCTCATTAGTCACTACATGGTCTAGCCACTGAGGAGGGTCGTGAGAACCCTGCTGTGCAAGCACAGCTAAGGGCCTTATTGCAGTCAGCCTGTAAGTCAGGATTGTGCTGGGCAGAAGTGACCAGGCCCAGTTCCTAGTATGGGGCCAAGCGCAGGGTACCCTGTGCACGCTGAATACAGCATTATGTGCCAGTGCCCTCTGTTCTGCATTGCAATCTTCCAACACAGTAACCTTGATGAGAGGTAGGGCTGAGGGCATGGTGCTGAGGCCTGTCTCCATGCTGGGGCTGCCTGTCTGTTACGGTTCACTCTGTGGTCTGCAGGAAAGATAAGTTTTTGGTAACCCACAGAGCCACTTAGAATTGGCTAGAAAGCTTGTCTTCCTACCCTGTCATCCTGGTGCAAAGGCAAAACCTAGGATGTAGCTGAACCTGGATGGAGTGGATCCCTGACTATGCCCAGGATGCACCAGGGTAGCACTAATAGTGTAGGCTGCAGTGCCAAGAGCCCCAGCCCCAGAGACCAGTAAGAGCCAGCTTCCTCAACCAGGAAAAACAGGGAAGAAGTGAGTTGCAGAACAATGACCTCTCATTCCCACTCACTTGTCAGACTTGCACTTGCCCATGGGTCCCTGTAGCACAGTGGTAGGCAATGTTTTGTGCCCAAGGGTCACATAGGGAGTTTTGCTGAGCTGCTGTGGGTCAGGTCAGGATCCCCCCTCCACCCCCCTGCAACAGCTCACCAAAACTCCCATGTGGGATGGGGTCCCGGGCAGCCAGGGAGCAGTGTTTGGGAGCAGGATGGGCAGGCAAGGCCAGGATCACAGGGTGGGATAGAAGGGCAGCAACAGTGTGGGACCAGAGCCCAGGCAGAGCAGGGATCCACTGCTTGCACACCCCTGCAATGGGTGCAGGTTCCTCAGGCAGGGGCGTGCAGGGAGCGGATCACAGAATCATAGAAAATAAGGGTTGGAAGGGACCTCAGGAGGTCATCAAGTCTCACCCCGGCTTGAAGCAGGACCATCACCAACTAGATCATCCCAGCCAAAGCTTTGTCTAGCTGGGTCTTCAAAGATTTTCTGGCTCCATGCTGTCACCACCCCAAGATCCTGGGGTGAAGGTCCCCAGCTGCCTGCAGCTCCACCCCATCCACCTGGCCACATGCCCTGCCTGTGCAGCTTTTGGACAGTCTTCATAAAGACCTCAGGATCACAGGGCAGTGACAGCACGGGGCCGGGGCAGAGCCATGATCTGCACACCCCTGCCCACAAAACCAGGACTTGGCCCTGGCCCTGGCCCCATGCTGTCACCACCCCACAAACCTGGAGTCTCCATTGAGACCAGCTGGGAGCCATGCAGGCAGGGCATGTGGGTGGGTGGATGGGGAAGCTGTGTCTGGGGCCAGGTCTGGGATCTTGGGGCGGTGACCGTGCAGGGCCAGGGCCTGGGGCAAAGCTGCAATTGGCTCTCTGTGCACCCCTGCCCATGGAACCTGTGCCCATCACAGGGGTGTGCGGGCAGTGGATTGCAGCTTCTCCAGCCCTGGCCCCATTCTGTCACTGTCCAAAGGTCTCAGGATCTCCCTGGCCCCACCTGCCCATTCCATTCCTGGACACCACTCTCTGCTAGCCTATTGCCCCATCCCAGCCTGTGTGGGTACCACACCCAGCAGTGGGTGCAGGGCAGATGGGCTGAGATATTTGGGGAATGGGGCCAGGTCTGGTGGCTGCAGCGTGTCAGCCGGATGGAGCCACTGCTGCTAGGGCTGCCAGGAAATGGAGTTCAGCTGCCTCACTGCAGCAGGGTTGAAGCATGCCCAGGGGTGGCAGGACCAGGCTGCACATGCCATGGACTGGACTGTCTCCCACACCTGGGCCAGGTGGGACCAAGGTACCCACCCTTTGCCAGACAAAATCCCTTGCTGGGCTAGATTCAGCCCACAGGCCATATTTTGCCCACCCCTGCTGTAGCAGAACCGGGACCCTATCAGCCACACCCAGTCCCCTGGTCTAAAACTAGAACAAAAAATCTGCTTAAACTCAAAATCTCCCCCTCTGGGTCATCATAATACTGCCAAGCCACCTCCCTACTCTCTGGCCTGCTCTACCCTGGAAGAACCTAGCATGCCTGCAGTTCCAACTCCTCACCAGCCTGAGCTGGCTAGAGCTCCTTCCCCCGCCAAATTCAGGGCTGCACTGCCCCATGCCTCAGGGGCCCAGGGTTATATCCCTTGGCTCCTCTTCTTTCAATCAGGTACTTTCCTGTCTGGCTGCAGGTGTGCCCCCTCAGCCTCCAGGGCAGCTTACTACCGGCATCCTTGCTGCCTTATGAGGGCTCTGCCCTGTTTCCTACTGCTAGGAAGCTAGACCCACAATAGGCACTTGTAGCCTATGGTGCTCTGGATGCCTACTCCCCTGCAGCTAGCCCAA